TTTAAAGTAAAACTGTGCTACAATATATACCACATAAATATGTTAAAAATGTATACAAATATAAGAATTAATATGATGCTGAAGATAAAAGAAAGAATAAAATCCTGACGTTTTTGTAGATTTTATTATTTAAATATGAAATGAAAACAGATTATTGTTTGAAATGTACACTTAAAACAATAACTATCCTTAATATAGTGAAGTATATGAGTACTTCTTCCAACAGTACACTACTTATTGTTGTTATATGTAGGTGCACACGTATTTGTGGCCTTGTAGTAAAATCTTATATATACTTTAATCCTTCTTCTGTACTCTTAATTGATCTTTTTGGTGCTTTACGCCCACTTCATGTCTCCGTCTCTCTACCTTCTGAATGTCACTTGGTTTCAGTCCGTTTTCAGGAACTGAGTCACAGACCACACGGCGAACACACAGGATGTCGCTCTGTTTCTGTTTGTCACCTCAAACATCTCACTTTGTCATGTTTGAATCCACTGCAAGCAAAACAGACACTCTTCAAATGCACCGTGACGCCCTTGCATGATGCAAGAAGCTGTAGAAAAATGACTTTTGGTGCTTTTTTTGTTAAGATTTGACTGATTTCAGATGAGCTCAAGAGGGTTTTGCTTCTCTAGAAATTGATAAAATGATCTCAAACTTCTTGTATTTCTCCTTTTCCTTGCAAAACATTTAAATATTATGTCCACAGCAGCCCTAGTGAATTTGAATTGTTAAAAAAAGGGAGGTTTTACAGTCGGCAGTTGTGGAAAAAGTGCTGGGATTATTCACTTTAATGAAATAAAACAACAAGAAACATATTCACTGAAAAGAAGGATAAACACAAAAATAAACACAATTTTCTAAAAGTGAAATAACCCATTTAAGAGTACTGTCTAGTGGCATCTATAATCACAATTAAAGAACGAATATTTATACTTTCAAACCTAAAAGTTAATACTGTATTTCTGGTGAAATCCTTAAATCCGTATTCATCTGTTAAATGACTTCAGAAAACTCAGAATTTAGTCTCAAAAGGCCTCGAGGGGCCTTATTGAAACCCACAACAAAATGTACGTTTAAGAAGCTAATCAGATTATAACTCATTTTATTGGTCAAACATTGTTGATCATAAACTCCTAGAACATTTTAAATTGTAGTCACTTTATTAACAGTGTTATCAGAGGCTTATTGGAGATAAAAGGAGGCATGCACGAAAAAACTTGTCGTGGATAATTTAACATGACGACTTAGCAAATTCTAGTTTATCGTGAAACAAAAAGCTTTATGAACATGCGAAGATGAAGGAAACCAAGAGAACGAAGACCAGACAGAGTGGATTGGCCGTAAAGGAGGAAGAGGGGGCGTTGTCACCTGCGTTGTCACCTGCGTTGTCACCTGCGTTGTCACCTGCGTTGTCACCTGTAGGAGAAAACAAGGAGGACGTTAAAATGCAACGATATGAGAATAAAATATAATTTACAGAACATTTGTTGGTAAATAAAAGTGGCACAAGGTTGCACATTTTAGTACAAGTAAACACAGTAATGTATAATATAAAGACTATTGTCAAATAAAAAACGACTTAATGTTTGTTATTTAAATAAATAAAATAATTAAAATACAATTAAATACAATTATTTAATAAATTAACATAGAACATTTAAAGTAAAAATGTGCTACAATATATATATATAACATAAATATTAACATCCTGAAAGTGGCACAAGGTTTACATTTTAGTAAAATATTTGGTTCTACGGGTTAGTTAAAATTGTTGCTAACAGCCTACTGAACCATTGGATCCAATATGAAGTTCATTTTCTGTAAGAATGTGTTGCTCTGCTCTTGTAAGGATGTTAGCACGTGTGTTATGGTTTTACGAGCTAGTTGGTTAACATGTGTAGCTAACTAGCTAACAAACTACTATACGTTAGCATTGCACATACAGTAGATATTCCAATTTGAAGCTAATGTCTATAATACTGTGTTGCTCTTGTAAGGATGTTAGCACGTGTGTTATGGTTTTACGAGCTAGTTCGTAAACATGTGTAGCTAACGAGCTAACGGCGTACTAAAATGTAGCATTAAACATACAGTAAATCGTCCAATTTGAAGCTAATTTCTATAATACTTTGTTTCTATACTCTTGTAAGGATGTTAGCACGTGTGTTATGGTTTTACGACCTAGCTGGTTAACATGTGTAGCTAACTAGCTAACAAACTACTATACGTTAGCATTGCACATACAGTAGATATTCCAATTTTGAATGTCTATAATACTGTGTTGCTCTTGTAAGGATGTTAGCACGTGTGTTATGGTTTTACGAGGTAGTTGGTAAACATTTCTAGCTAACTAGCTAACGGCCTACTAAAATGTAGTATTAAACATACAGTTAATCGTCCAATTTGAAGCTAATTTTGAGAAGACTGTTTTGCTCTGCTCTAGTTAGCTAGCTAGCCTTTGCGTTAGAGTTTAGGCTGGTACGGAAAAATATAAAATCAGGATCTAATTATAATTTGTATTTAGACTGTAAACATTATTTGATACGGAAAACAGAGGGGTTTCTGCACAGTTTAACTTCCCTTAAATCCATTAGAGTCAAATATTACAGCTAACATACATTTAAAAAAAAAAAAATGAAGAGATTAGATGAGAGTGAGGGTACCTGATGGTTCCTCGTCATCCTGCCATGGTGGATGCAACGTGATGTTTCCAGTCAGGTTTACAGTCATGTTATAGTGATTTTCCCCATTTTCAAGCAAAGAATATTCATCATCATCATCATCATCGTTTTGTCCCCTTGATAAAATGACTGCGGCACCTAAACAAAGAAAGGGAGAGTAATTCAAATTGAGGAAAAATCTAAATTAAATAAATACATATTGTGCTTATGAAACATAGACATGTGAAGACAAACAACATGTATATATGTTATTATTTCATTTCTTGATTAAATTGGTTTTTGTTATTCAGTATTAATTAATTGGGCGAAAAATTTAAATATTCTGAGATTTTTATACAGGCTGATATTATTATATTATATATAGGTTTAAAAGAAAAATGGACACACACACACACACACACACACAGACACACAGACACACAGACAGACACACAGACCACACACACACACACCACACACACACACACACACACACACCACACACACACACACACACACACACACACACACACACACACACCACAGACAACCACACACACACCACACAACAACACACACACACACACACATACACAACAACAGACACAGACACAACACCACACACACAACAACAACACACAGACAACCAACAACAGACAGACACACAGACACACAGACACAACAGACACACAACAACAGACAACAGACCACAACACAGACACAGACAACACACAACACACACAGACAGACACAGACAGACAGACAGACACAGACAGACAGACAGACAGACACACAGCCAACCACACAACACACACACACAGACAGACAGACAGACAGACAGACAGACAGACAGACAGACAGACTTCTTAAACTCAGGGGCTCTAAGTCAATGGTAAACAGAGAGGAAATCAAAATGAAAGCGATGTAAAAGTAGTTTGATGGCGTGTGACTAAATGGAGTCGGAGACGAAGTTCACTTATATATTTAATCATAGGGCACAAACTGACTTTAATTATCCTTAAGTTGTATTTAATTATCTCTAGAACGCCCATCGTGAGGCCAAGAAAATAAATTGTAAGTAATGTACTTTAATTGTGACTACACTGATGTTAAAATCAAATTGTTGTTGTTGTTTCCGTACTCACCGATAACCCCTAACAGCAGGTAAATCTTCATCATCCCCTCCAGATGTCTGATATACAATCTCTCCAGCTGATTGAGTTTCTGTCTGTCAACTCGAAGCTAAATGAGTTCATACTGGAGACAGGAAGTATAACCACAATCTGCTGAGACCGAGATAATCTGACATCTTTACATCACTTTATCTCCATACTTGGCTCCGTGAGAAACACCGTTTATAACCTCCAGACAGCAGGGAGGAAGGATACACTTATTTCATTCTTTATTCAACACATGGCAGTTATTTTAATACAAAACATGTTCGCTTATACTGGTTGTTTTTCAGTTTTTTATAGTGCATAAAAGCAATATTCTTTCAGTTGCTTACAAATACTGAAACATAAAACCAGAACACAAAAGTCAACTTCAAACTGTCTCATTATGCTTTCTTTATACATTTTCTTAAACATAAAACATTTTCTCACAGCCCTTTCGGCAAAAAATGAAACCACTTCTTTACGCCAAGAGACACACTTCTGCTTTAAAGTAGCGCGTGCAAACTGATGTTTAACATTTCATTTCCTCCTTTGATAAAGACTATTTTCTGCAGTAAAAGTACTTCATTCTGACAATACTCCACTTCACTACAAGTCCTGCAAAACTGTACGTAAGTAGAAGTTTGTAATCACTCTT